CATGCAAATTACCCAGCGAGACACCAGGGAAACACTGAAGAAGTGGCACAGATGGTACAGATAGAGGTAACCGAGCCACATAGGAGGACAGATTAATAAAAGCAGGTTAAGTTATAAGAGCTAGGGGGACAAGCCTAAGCTAATGGCTAAGCTTTCATAATTAATAGTAAGTCCCGTGTCATTACTTGTGGATTGGCAGTCCTGACGAGAAAGCACTGCTCAATCCAGGGTCAGCTCTCTCACCTGCAGGTGGCAATGGGTAAGGGAGGCTGGGGGGCATCTTTCTCTTGCCAATGTCACTACAGGCTAGTGGGGGCAGAGTCAGCTCACTTGCATCCCCGACCACAGCGTCCATCGGCTCTAGTGCGTTGCCCAGGTTAGGGGCACCCTGTGGTGAGGGGTGAGGCCATTTTTCTGAGTGCAGAAGTGAGTTCCCCCCTGATGGGGTAGGACCAGTTTGCCTGCTGTAATACCCAGCAAAGAGCAGGACCACCCACCCCAGGACAAGTGAAGGGCAGGGCCGGCTCAGCATAGCATGGTTCTAATGTCCACCATGCTAACATGGGCCATGGACATCAACACAGACCCCAGCTGCAGCAGGACAACAGAGCCCTTAGCTTAAGCTTGAGGTCGGGTGCCACCATGGACCCTGGTGGCACAGGCCACCCAGATCAGTACAGCCCCAGTGGCAGCATGGCCCCAGGGTACCAACATGGTCCCAGGTGGCTGACCAGACCCCGGGCATCCACAGAGCCCTCAGTGGCAACAGGAGCCATAGACATCACCCCAGACCCCAGCCACTGCACAGCCATGGACCCAGACATGGATGGCCCTAGGTAGCACCACAGACCCAGATGTCACCACAGTCCCTGGTAGCAATGCAGTATGGTGATATTTTATTTGTACTGAAATATGATTTTAATTGTATGTTAATAAATAAAGTTGCCCTGGGGTCAGAGCTATTAGAGCCATAGCAAGAGCATGGTGGTTAGAAGAGCTAGGTAGATTTCTGTGTGTTCAGGGATACAGCCAGTATTGGAGACATACACCTTTAAGACCTGGAGGGCGGTACTTACAGGCAGTGACGAGGCAGTCATGTGTTTGGGTTTACAACCAATGAGAAGGCAGAACAGAAAGACTATTTAAAGACAGACAAACAGGAAGAAGCTCTCTCTCGGGGAAGCTAGGAGCACTGCAGGAGGTAAGATTTTAGCTCTGAGCTCTGACCTCTCAGCTTTCTCTTTTACATTGGCTCTGTGTTTCTTATTTTAATAAGACGATTGGTTACATCTACAATGCAGGCCACCAGAACCAGCATGGCCCCCATGGCAGCATGACCCTTGGACATCAATGTTGCCCCAGGTGGTGGCCTAGACCACAAGCCCCTGCACGGCCCCCAGTGACAACCAGGAGCCACAGACATCAACACAGGCTCCCTCAGCTGCTCCAGGGCCCCTAGACCAAGAACTGTCCCTAGACCTCTCCCTGGACTCAGGTGGCCAGTTGACCATTCACGTCGGCCTGTTCATCACCACCCTCACCTCTCCAGATCTGCCTCTCCCTCTCTTCCACTTCCCCACCCTGCACTCTCTGACCACAGTGGTGCCTGACTGCCCAGGGCCAGGCTCTTGGGTGGGTCACAGTGGTGCCTGGTTGAGTACTGCCCACCCCAGCCACAAAGAACAGCACGGAGCTGTTGCCTTCCCTCTCTCCCGTGCCCAGGCCTATCCTGGTATGATGGCACCCAACCACCCGGTGCCAGAGGCATGGACAGGCTCCTGGTTGATTTGCCTCCTCCAAACCAAAAAGTCTGGGGGCGGGGAGCCATCTGTGTCCTCTGCAGATTCAGGCCCAGATGGGGCCAGCCCAGAGTTATTTTCTTAATGTTAATAACCACTGTGGGGCACTCAGGAACTGACCTTATCAACTTATGGAACAATATATTCAGATAACTCCATGAGGTAGGTGGTAGTATCCCTATGACAGAATAGAAAAATGGACTCTGAGACAGGATTAATAACATAGTGTCTCACAGCCCTTAAATGGTACAGCAGAGAATTAAATCCAGGTAGTTGCATTCCTAATCAATAGCAGGGAGTTCTTTCGGTTTAGTTGTTTAACAGATACAGAATTTATTTGAAATTCCTAGTAAGGCATGAGACTATTAAAAGGACCATAAGTGAATAAACTGGTTGCTAAGTTTAAAAACATTTGATGTAGCCGGGTGGTGGTGGTAGCACACACCTTTATTCCCAGCACTCAGGTGGCAGAGCCAGGCGGATCTCTGTGAGTTCGAGGCCAGCCTGGTTTACAAAGCAAGATCCAGGACAGGCACCAAAAAAACTACACCAAGAAACCCTGTCCCAAAAAAACAAAAACAAACAAAAAATTGGTGTATGTATCTACATTGGTTTTAGAGAGAGAATGGACATACACTTACATTATTTGTGGTATTTTTCAGAATTAAGCAAGAGTAGTGAACGCATTCCCTTGGATGAGAACAGTGATGGAAGAGGAACTTGATCTTTAACTGATTGGCAGCTACAGGAGGTTTCAGATTACAGCTGAGGAAATCTAAAGATTCTCACATGTCCTTCAATGTCAAGGAAGTAGGAAATGTTCTACTGTTTTGGAGCATATTTATTGATTCAGCAGATATCCCATGCTTGGTAAGGTAGAGAAAACAAGACATACTATCTAGGCAACATACTAATATTCTCCTCTGAAATGTCTTGAGCATGCCCCACAGTGCAAATCACCCTCTGTCTTCCATGCTCCTACTATTATGGCCCATTAAATTCTGCTTAAATCATTCAGCTACTTTTCTAATCCAAAGTCTGAAAGTCCACATTCCTCCAGACAAAAACATGGTCAGGCTACCACAGCAATACCCTGGTCCCTGATACCAACTTCTGTCTAAATTAGGGTTTATTGCTGTGAAGAGACACCATGAACTCAGCAACTCTTTTTTTTTTTTTTTTGGTTTTTCGAGACAGGGTTTCTCTGTGTAGCTTTGCGCCTTTCCTGGAACTCACTTGGTAGCCCAGGCTGGCCTCGAACTCACAGAGATCCGCCTGGCTCTGCCTCCCAAGTGCTGGGATTAAAGGCGTGTGCCACCACCGCCCGGCTAAACTCAGCAACTCTTATAAAGGAAAACATTTAATTGGGGGCAGGCTTACAGCTTCAGAGGTTTAGACCATTATCATCTTGGCAAGAAGCGTGGCAGCATGCAGGCAGACGTGGTACTGGAGAAGGAGCTGAATGTTCTACATTTTGATCTGCAGGTAGCAGAAGGAGACTGCCACACTTGGCTTAGCTTGACCATCTGAGACCTCAAAGCCCACCCGCCCTCCCAGTAACACACTTTCTCCAAGACCACACCTATTTCAAGAAGGCTATACCTCCTAATAGTGCCACTCCCTATGAGCATATGGAGGCCATTTTCTTTCAAACCACTACACTTAGCTTTTTCTCTTTTCCCTACTGCTGTTTTAATGTTGTAATAGTTACAAGTTCTTAGATTGAAATCTTTGATACAGTTTTAGTCATCACTTATACACGATATGGGGTTGGGGTCAAGCTGAATTACCTTGCGGCAGATATTTAGTTGTCAAATCACCAGCTAATGAAAAGGACTGCTCTTCCCCTATTTGATACTCTTGGCATGTTGCTAACCATCAGTTCACCATGTACATATACAATTCTATCCTCTCTTAGGGGAGAATAGTATTTGAAGTACAGCATCGTGGTGGCAGGCATGCTCCTATCCACTGAAGCACCACTTCTAGTCCACTTAGTGGGCAAAGGTAAGATTGGAGATATACAGACACACTGAACACTTTCTCAATAAATGTACACATATAATTCCCTTTAAAAGACATCATATTAGGGGCTGGAGAGATGGCTCAGCTGGAGAGATGGCTCAGAGGTTAAGAGCACTGGCTGTTCTTCCAGAGGTCCTGAGTTCAATTCCCAGCAACCACATGGTGGCTCACAACCATATGTAATGAGATCTGGCTCCCTCTTCTGGCCTGCAGGAATACATGCAAACAGAACACTGTATGTAAATAAATAATTTTTTTTTTTTTTTTTTTTTTTGGTTTTTCGAGACAGGGTTTCTCTGTGTAGCTTTGTGCCTTTCCTAGAACTCACTTGGTAGCCCAGGTTGACCTCGAACTCACAAAGATCCGCCTGCCTCTGCCTCCCAAGTGCTGAGATTAAAGGCGTGCGCCACCACTGCCCGGCTAAATAAATCTTTTTAAAAAAAGACATCATATTAACTCTATGTCCATCTAACATCATGAGGGGTAACTCTTCCTCCTTTTTATATATCTGTAAATAATGTCTCAAGCATGAAAAAAAAACTAACTCCAATTTTCTTCAACACATTTACTTGTTTGTTCAATCATTTTATTTACTCTAAGAGATCATTGTCTCTTCCTCATTCAGAGGGCTCTGACACAGGACAACTGTCATTAGATCTTGTTCCTGCCCCGCTGCTGCCAAGCTAAGAACTCTTATGCCTCTGTGCAGTAAGCCCAGTCACCAAGCACCTTAGCACCCCATCTGCCCATTCCTTTCCCCTTGTGCCTATTCTACAAGTTGCAACTCTGATTAGATGACAAAAATAATTTCAAATTGCTATAACTATCTCAATGCGAGCAATGTAAAATGTAATAGAGATATTAGGTTTGCCTGTGTGTGCATAATTCATTTAGGTAAGACATGTAAGAGAATATAGGTTAGGCCAAAAATGTGTTAAGATTTAGATTTATCAAATTCAATGGGGGGAATAAGACTGCCTAGTGGAAATATATAATGGGTAGCTGGAAATGTAAGTCTGGAGTTCAGACAGAGGTATATATATAGAAATAGATTTGTTTGTAACTGCACAGAGAGGCTTATGAATGAATTTTAGAAGGGACACACAGGGAATAGGGAATAATAAAATAATAGAGTAACAAAGACCAAAAGTAGATTTAGAAGAATGACCAACTGTGTCAAGCTAAGGTTTAATCACAGTTTCCAAAACCATATGAGTTTAACTACATGCTAGGCACTGGAGACTTTTGGAGCAGTGATTTCAAATGCAGTGTACACAAAAGTCAGGATGCAGAGTTCCATGTACGGAAAATAAAGAAGCAGTCAGCCATGGTGATATATGCCTATAATCTCAGGACTCGGGAGGTAGAGGCAAGAAGATTTCTAGATTGAGGCCAGCTTGGTTGTAGCGTGAGGCTCTATCTAAAAAAAAAAAAAAAAAAAAGCTTAAAACAAACATCAACAAAACCAGAAGAGAGAACACACTTATCTAAACAAGTACCAGCTCTTCCCATCAGAGTTTTGACTGTGATTCAAAATGCAGAATCAGAGAGTTGTGTGTAGGAATGCAATATTTTGTACAAGGAAAACCATATTGGTGTAACTGGGAAAATAATCACACATCTCATGCATATCGTGTTCCTTCTAACGATCAACACTGATCAAAAAGTAACCTTAATGATCACTTACAATAATCTCATTTTATTCATGAAAATGAAACACAGACTTGTGTTCATAGTTGCCCTATAAAAATATTCAAATAATTTTATTTTATTTCTCCCCTCAAGTTGTCTCTTGATCAAAGATACCCTCCTCCTCTTTTTTGTGAGACAAGTCTCACATTGTAGCCCAACTGACTGGGAACTATGTACCTCAGGCTGGCTCTGAATTTGTGGCAATTCTGCTGCCTCAGTTCCCTACCTCTGGGATTACACATGGCTCACACATCACTTTTATTATTTCATAAAATGGGGCCAAACTTCCTGTTTATTTAAAACTTACATATTTTTATTTTACACACACACACACACACACACACACACACACACACACACCTTCTATATGCAGTCTTTTTGGTGAAAATGTTCATGTCTTTTCTCATTCTCTACTGGGACTGTTTATTTTTGAGTTTTGAGCATATTATTTTCCCATATCCATATTTTTCCCATATCAGATATTACATGGTTTGCAAATAATTTCTTGCTTGTTCTCCTTTTTTCTTTACAGAATATAAAGTTTTAATTTTGACAAAGTCCAATATATTTACATTATTTTCTTGTGGACTGTGCTTTTGAGGTGAAGTTTGAGAATTTGACTCCTAAAATTTTTTATTGAATGATTTTTTTTTCTAAAAGTTTTCTTACATTTAAATCCACAGTACATTTTGAGGTACTTTTCGAGTTTATTTTGTTGGCCTGTGAAGATTCAGTTTGTTGAAATGACTGTCCTTTTTTCCCTTGAATCATTTTTATACTTTGTCAAAATTAGTCAAGCATGCTATTGTGGGTTTATTGTTGGATTTTCTTTTCTGTTCCATTGATTTATATATCTGTTCTTCTGTGAATAGCACAGTACCTTGATTGCTGCAACTTTATAAATCTTGAAGTTATGTAATGTAAGCCCTCCAACTTTATCATCTTCAAAATTAATTTAGCTTAATAAATTGTATCCAGGTATTTCAATCTACCACATGTTCCCTCCTGCTTTATTCTAGGAAAGAGCTCTTCTATAAGGTCTTCCTTTTCTTCTTGTGACTCTTGCAAATGCTTCTGGCTTTGTTCCAGCTTGTCCTCCAACCACTGCGGTAGAGGCCCACTGACCGCTGACATCTGACTGCATGCGTTTGGTAAACACAGAGCATTATGGATCTTGGTTACTGAGCCCAGATATCTAAGACTGTAAATCCTTCTGTATGCATCCTGTTTTTCCTGACACAGGATCCTCTGCAGCTCTACTGCTGACTGGGGCATACTTTCCCCATAGTGATATGAGGTTCAGATTGGGGAAAGGATTGGGATTTCGATTCTCTCATACTCTGAGCTCTTTTGGGCTTGTATGGATGGGAAGCTAGTATAGAGTACCTGACCAGTCTCTGTGTTTTTATCTTCTATGAAACAAGAAAAAGTAAGTTCTACAAGGCCTTGATCCATCTTTTAGTACATGGCTTGTGTTATGGACATCGACATGGGAAAGCCAAATGGCTATATGATAGTGGGAATGATACCAGCCAATAACTCTTAGGGGGTGACCTGTTACCTCTGTTAAGGTTGTAGGTGGCTGATCTGGAGAAATTTCTACAGGGTCCTTTCTCTTGTCACAACGTTGCAAGACAATGACAGAATGAATATGGACAATTTGATGGTATCTATCTCCATATACATAGACCCAGCACCCCCTCTCATCTGTGCTCACAGCATGGTTGAGACAAACTAGGAAAGCCTCAGATTCAAGATGAACCACCATCTTTGTAGGCTCAACTCACATCTGCCATGGGCCCACTGAAGCCTGGCCAATGGGGGATCAGATGCAGCCTTCCCAGCCCGGAGGTCAGCCATCTGCCCAAGCCTCTTGACTTATTCTTTCAGTCAACAAATGTTTCTTGATATTTGCCAGGCAGAGTTGTCAGTGTTGGGTATACAGTTGAATAAAACTGATTAATCAGGCAGGGCATTTCTTTAGAGAGGCCCTCCTCAATCACCCATCAAAGAGTACTTAGCTGTACTCTCACAAGTATTACTTTCCGTAGTACTTATCTCTACAAATACTATATATATATATATATATATATATATATATATATATATATATATATATATATATAATTTGGGGTGTGTACTACTACTTCTAGATTATTAAACAGTGCCTAACTGGTAGGAATCAGTTAAGTGTTGTAAAACTAAATACAAAAAAGTTATTTGGCTTCTTAAAACCATAAACTATTAAAACATAAGCACAGGCCGGGCGGCGGTGGCGCACGCCTTTAATCCCAGCACTCAGGAGGCAGAGCCAGGCAGATCTCTGTGAGTTCGAGGCCAGCCTGGTCTACAGCGGGAGATCCAGGACAGGAACCAAAACTACACGGAGAAACCCTGTCTCAAAAAACAAAAAACCATAAGCACAGCGACTCTCTCTCTGATATTACCATATTATGCTAAGAACGGGGTCAGGAGCATGGGCAGCCTTTAGGATGCCAGTCGTTTTACTTAGCTTACGCCGGAATTCAGAGGGAACTCGCGTTGTTGCAGTTATAACAAGTGACTGAATTGGCATTTGGTACCTAGCAAGCCCTCAATCACCGCGGAACGAATAGATGACTCCTCATTTTACTAAGGGGCCTCGGGAAAGGCTTGGCCAAGGAAGGTCCCCGAAAACGTTCAGGGGCAGCACAGGATCGGCCAGTGGCGGGGAGGCCCGCGCGCATTCAGTCTCCGCATGTGACTGGTTTAAACCAGTCCAAGCCTTCAGTACTTAAGTCAGTAAAGGGTAAACCCGGGGAACGCATAGAAACAGTTTCAGTGGTCTCGAGTCTCCTCGGGGCGGGACAGACGCTCCGCCCGTCACGTGACCACGCCCGCCACGTGATCCGGCTGGCTGCGCGCGCAGGCCCAGGAGGCGTTTCCGCCCGCCATTGCAGGGATGGCGGGGTCTCTCGGCGGGATGTTCTCCGGGCAGCCACCCGGTCCCCCGCCGCCCCCGCCGGGGCTCCCAGGCCAGGCGTCGCTTCTGCAGGCAGCGCCTGGGGCCTCGAGACCGTCCAGCAGCACTTTGGTGGACGAGTTGGAGTCGTCCTTCGAGGTAAGCCGAGACGTGGGCGTCTGGGTGCCGCCGCGCGGGTTCTCGGTGCCGGCGTCCGGTGGATGCCGGCGATCGGAGACCTGAAGCCGCCCGCCGTCGGCTGGGTGCGGCTCGTGGCCGGTGGTCTCAGGTCTGCCCCCGCAACCGCCACATTTCTGCAGACAACTCCATCCCCCTGGGGGTTCTTTCGATTCCCATCCCGCTTTGACCTCCGCGGGTCTGGTAGGAGCTGGTTTTCCCTGGGTCGTAGCCTTTCTGCTGAGCTCCTCTTGAGTTTTCAGGTCACATATTGTACGCTTTTCCTGGTTTTGTCTCTTCTGTGTAGACCTTCCATTGGCCCCGGGCACTTTTTTACCTGTTAGCTCTTCGATTTGGGTGCCTACCCTTTGGGGTCTCTGGCTTTCGCTTGCTAGTCGTTTGGTAAATGCTTTGTTAGGACAAATTGAGCTCTTACTGTGGGAAGAAACTTGGGTAGAGCATTTGGGATCACCCCCTCTTCGTGGATGCAGAAATTAAGACTCATAAGCAACTTGTCCAAAGTCGGCCTTGGGTTTGTGCAAGTGAACACTAGTACTCCGGCCTTCTGCCTTTCCAAGTAAAAGGTGGCCTCGTCATACTAATGAAGAGCACATTCTTTTAAAAAATAAATTGTATTGCGTTTATTTATTTGTTATTGGTGTGCTTGTGGAAATCAGAGGGACAACTTGAAGTCAGTTCTCTACATCCACCATGTGAGTGCAAGGGATGGAAACTTAGGTAGCAAACGTGATTACATCCCAGCTGCCCGAGAAAACTAGCCTTTTTATATACTTAATGCATTTTTTTCTTTCATAAGACCGGCTGTCGATAAAGGCCCATGCTTTAAATGTTTTTCAAAGGCTAATGGGGGCGGGAGGTGCTCTGGGAACTAACGTTTCAGAAGTTAGTTTTGTTTGTTTGGTTGGTTTTTCGAGACGGTTTCTCTGGGTAGCCCTGGCTGTCAAACTTTTACAAGGGCGGTGGTTGTGCACGCCTTTAATCCCAGCACTCGGGAGGCAGAGGCAGGCGGATCTCTGTGAGTTCCAGGCCAGCCTGGTCTACAGAGCGAGATCCAGGAAAGGCGCAAAGCTACACAGAGAAACCCTGTCTCGGAAAAAAAAAATCATTTTGCCAGGCGGTGGTTGTGCACGCCTTTAATCCCAGCACTCAGGAGGCAGAGGCAGGCGGATCTCTGTAAGTTCGAGGCCAGCCTGGACTACCAAGTGAGTTCCAGGAAAGGCACAAAGCTACACAGAGAAACTCTGTCTCGAAAAACCAAGAAAAACAAACTTTTATAGTACACAGGATGGGCAGTCTGATTTGTTGAGCTGTTGCAGGAGTGGGAAATCCTTGTGGTGGTTTCTATACTTTAAATCTGGAGCTGGAGTGCCAGGTGGTGGTGGCGGCGGCGGCGCACGCCTTCAATTCCAGCACTCGGGAGGCAGAGCCAGGCGGATCTGAGTTCAAGGGCTACAGAGTGAGTTCCAGGAAAGTCGTAAAGCTACACAGAGAAACCCTGTCTCAAAAAACCAACCAACCAAACAAACAAACAAACAAAAAAACCACCCAAAAAAATCTGGAGCTGGGTGAAAGGATTTATTGCTTCCAAAAGGACCCTCACATGTAGTTATGGCTTACAGTTGGAACCTAAATTTGGTTCGGTGTCTTGTGTTTTACACAGAAGTTTGCTCACTGCTGGCAGTGCTCTTTCCCCCTATCCTGTATTCATTTGTCAGCTGCCATCCATGTTCTTGTTCACCCTTTTTGTCTTTGGGGGCTGCTTGTACCTCATGTGGTTCTCTCACATGAATAGCTCAGTTGGTATCCTTTCAGAAGATCTTTGGGACTTGATTATCCATGTGGCACTAACCATTTATTACACAGACACCTCTTGGTTAAATGCCAAGTGGTATTCCAAGTACTTAGAATGTAGTGCTGAACCACGCAGGCAGACCTGTTGGTAGAAGATAAATAATAGTGGCTGAAAAGAATGGATAGCAATGTCAATTATTTAGGTGAAAAGCATGCCGAGCTCCACTGTAGAGCATGAGCAGGACAGGGACCATTTAGAAAGAGGAGACAGATGACATCTTGAGATGGTGATATATACAATTTATGTAAGGACCAGCCAAAGTGACTGTGGTGGTATCCAGGTGTGGAATGAGACCATATGATGGTGCCAGCAAATACCGGTGTCTCAGTTGCCAAACTAGATGTTACTCATTTTACCAAGTGTTTACATTGGTCGGAGGTCTTCTTGGGCACAAACTGAGAAAATGACCACTCATTGAATGGCCTCAGGAGAGGTTATTTCTTGTTCATAAGTAACAGCTTAATGTGTAGTGTTTTTTTATGTTTTGCTCACACAGGCTTGCTTTGCTTCCCTTGTGAGTCAGGATTACGTCAATGGAACTGATCAGGAAGAAATTCGAACTGGTAAGATTTCCCTCTTTGCAGACAGTTTTTTTTTTTCTTTAGCAAGCTCTGCATGTATCTTCGAACTTTTCCAGGGAGTAAGATGGATGCAGATAGTCCCCATAAACTGTTGCCTCTGTTCAGTTCACTTGCTCACATTTTTTCGTTATGAACCACTTAAAATGAGCTTTTCATTTCCATGAAGAAAACTAGTAAGAACTGTTTTAAAAACCCACCAATTATATTGCTCTTTTGACTAGCTCTGACAGAGGAGTAAGTCTGTTGTACGTGCGTATTCTCATCTCCACTGTTCAGTGACTTTTTACTGTATATCAATTATTCCATTCTAAATGAAAATTGTGGTCCTAATTGCTGAGTGTCTGGATTATGTTTCTTTGGAGGACTTCATGATAGTTACACGGGAACTTGACAATGATTGTTGTTGCTGTCTTCCAGATTAAAATCCCAAATTGTGTCTGAGGAGGTGCTGTTTTAATATTTTACTTATTCATTTAAGTGGGAGATAAATACATCTAGTGTTTTCCTTAAAACTCTCTCTTTTTTAAGGTGTTGATCAGTGTATTCAGAAGTTTTTGGACATTGCAAGACAGACAGAATGTTTTTTCTTACAAAAAAGGTTGCAGTTGTCTGTCCAGAAGCCGGATCAAGTTATCAAAGAGGTACAAATTTGACTTCCCCCCAACTTTTAGGGAGAACAAGTGTCATTAAGATTCCACTGTGTCTTAACTCTCTTCCTGTGAGTTGTAGGAGGTCTTTAGAGGTCGGCGAAGTGCTGTGGGTTCCAGTGGTGGTGACAGCTTGGACACCTGGGGGATCATTGGGAGGGAGCAGAACTGCAAACAGCTTTGCCTACCTACTTCACACCCTGCTTTTTATGGAAAAGTTCTCTTAAAAAGCAGGCTTTGCCTCCTGAGAACAATTGGAAAACCATCAGTATAGATAAAAAATTAATTTGGACAGGAACTGCAACTGTATCCCCAGATTGCCGTACCTGATACCCAGCACCTCGGAAATGGGCCGTGTACTTTGTCTAAGGAATCAAAAAGTAAATATTATTAAGTAATCAAAAAGGCCTGATGGTGCATGTATTTAATCTCAGCTCTCAGGAGGCAGAGTCAGGCATACCTTTCTGTAAGTTCAAAGCCAGTCTGGCCTACATAGCAAGTTCTTAGGCCAGCCAGGGCTATATAGTGAGATTCTTTATCTTTAAAAGATAAAAAAGGTAAATATTCTAGCCAAGGTTCCTTAAAAGGTTGGTTTGTTTTAAACTGAGATATCTGGAAATGAGTTGCCTCAAGAACTAGGAAACTTTAATGTTACTGCGTAAGTGAGATGATTCCTGCCACTCCAATATAGAAGATTCTGAACTTCCAGCCCCAAGGCCAGTGATACTGCCACTGAGAAACTCAAATTTGAGAGTAATGGATTTTGGCAGCTTTTGAAATAACAAGTTGACCATGATGAGTTAACCAGAAAGGATCTTTTCAGCCAGAGACCAGCTGTTGATAACAGGAATAGTAAGAAGATGATATTTTACAGTCTGTTGTACCAAGGTCACTTGATAGGAATGCTCAAATAGTATGTGGAAATGGTTAAGGCTACCATTTAAGCATTTTGCTTTTTTTAATTTTATGTGTATGAGTGTTTGCCCGTGTGTGTGTGTGCGTGCGTGCGCGCGCGCAGTTCTCATAGAGGCTAGAAGAGTGCATTGGATCCTCTGGAACTAGAATTGTAGGTGGTGGTGATCTGCCCTGTGGGTGCAGGGAACTAAACCCAGGTCCTCTGCAAGAGCAACAAGTGCTTTTTAACCACTGAGCCATCTCTGGACCCAAAGCCAAATTCTAATAAAGGAATTATCACCACTGTTCATATTAAACTTTTGAAAAAGATGTACTTTTTGACACTGTATAATATGAAATTATAGAGCAGTAATGTGGATTCTTAAAGACAGCTGTTAACACCTTTTTGTATTTTCAGTATTTGGTGTTTTTTAACAGTGGTCTTTTGGATTCTAAGGTAATTTTTAATTTTTTTTTTTTTTGGTTTGGTTTTCGTTTTTTCGAGATAGAGTTTCTCTGTGTTGTTTTGGTGCCTGTCCTGGATCTCACTCTGTAGACCAGGCAGGCCTTGAACTCAGAGATCAGTCTGCCTCTGCCTCCTGAGTGCTGGGATTAAAGACTCACCACCACTGCTCAGCTGGTAATTTTTAATTGTAAGGCTTATTTTTACTTATTAAAAGAAAAACCATTAAATATTAAAATTCTT